CTACATATTCCGACTCATAATGTTGAACTCGCCACAGGCTCCTTTATGGGTACATACATAGGAAATGCGTAGTGTTAAAATTATAGAGCTTTTAGGCGTTTGATGAACCCATTCCGGGTTCCGGGCGCTAAAGATGTTAAACGACCTTATGATATAAGCCATAGCCCATCCCATGTAGTTGAATTACTCTGGCTCTTAACAGACTTGGTCTAGTTCAGCCTATCGGCCGCGTCTGGCATGCTTGCCCATAATCAAACAAATTAGCAGTAACTCGGCTGAAAAAACCTATCCCCGTGCTATTTTTGGAGAGCAATGGCACGGCAGAGTCACAATTACGTACGGTTGATATCGTCGCAATCAGCCGAGGCGGTGTCCAAGATGGAGTGAGCCCATCAGCGGCGTTTTCACTACTGACTGTTTGATTTCTTTACATACCACGCCGTACGTCGGAGAATCCCCGCGGGGAATCGTATTTGGGGTAGGGAGAAGGGTCGTATCAGTTTTGAGACTATTTTTGAATGTGTAATAACAATGTGAAACTCCAAAAGTTTATTCCAAAAAACTCAAAAGACAGCAAAAGTCTCAAAAGTTTTTTAAAATATCTTTTAAAATGTCTGATATCTTGCAATTTATTTGCAAAATATTTTTTTATGGAAGTTCTTGTTTCACGGACGCTATAAGGGGTGGGGAGCGCATTTGTTCGTTGTTAGGAGAAAGAAGTGGTATTTGCCTTCGAGAGAAATGTAGAGTTGGGAAAAAATTTCCCGGCTGTTGACTTTTGGCGGTTTCTCCCGTTTCACACGCCACTAACTGGGCGAGAGTGCCCCCCTCCCCCAGTTAGTGGCGCCGCCAAAGTTTTATACAACAACTATTTCTGATGGTTGAAACTAATAGTTCGTTGCTGACGACCGCCCCCACCCCCCCCCCCCACTCCGCCAACAACCACATCTCGACAGCAAACTTTTGGGGGAAGACTAGGAAATTTTCGGGAAATTCCGGAAAAACTAGAAGTAGTTGTGGGAAGCTGGGAAAATCTATGGAAATGGTAAGTTGGACGGGGAGAAGGAGGGGTGTATCAGCGGAGGGCACAGAGGGAGTCGTTTTTTTCCGAAAAGTTTCCCAATGGGATGTGCCCCTTTCCTATATCAGCAATACTCCATCACTATCGGTAGATGAGAGAGCCGGAGTAGAGCATACCCCACCTCTCTTGAAATCGTCCCGACTGAACTGCGATGATATCAACTATACAAAGCGATACCTACCATGGACTGAAAGAACAGGACTCTTCTCGTATTATTTAATCTCAAATAATCATCGAAGATGGCTCCCAATGAGATTTTTGACGGGAAGCCACTCACTCTAGTGCTAGCAGGGAAGCTGAATGAAATTTGCAGTTTGTCTAAGATTCAAGGAGCAAAGGAGAGAGATATACTTTTCCCAACGGCTCGCTATGTGAAACCTCGGCATCCGCGCAAATTTAGT